TTTCGGAGCATAGGAGAGAAACCAGAGAGGCATCTCCCACACCCAACACTACAGATCTATTCTGCTGGGGACAGTGGTGTTCATTTCACACTCCTTGTTGGCCACTGACAAAAGCCATCATCCTGAATCTCTGGTGAAATTTGGAGATCCTGGAGGTAGACAAGAGCTTTAAATGCACAAGTTTGCTAGAAGCTATCTGGCTAGTGATTGCTTAATAGAATACAGCCACTCTCCTTGCCCCAAATCGGTCATTTCCATTGTGGGAGAGCAAAATCGGTGTCCCCAGTAAGCTCTACAGTGCATTAATCTGGAAATCCTAAATCAAGAAGCATACATGTCCTTCTTTTGACTAATGTACATTAGTACCAAGCAGTGACTTCAGTGTACTGTAGCCACATCTGTGCTGGTCATATCATAATTCTAGCAGATTATAATTTAGTTTTATGGATTGTTGTTCAGAAGAATTAAGCCAACTGACATATGGCTTCATAATTACACAAGTGGATACATGCACATTGGACTTTGTTTGGGGGTCAGAGCAAACTCAAATTTGTGAGAGCCTTCTATCTTTCCAACCACCCAAAACAGCAGGTTCTTCCTCCCAGGTTTCTGGGATCAGTGAGTGTCTGCTGGAAAGGAAATTCACATGATACCTCGTGGACATTTTGAACATCCAAAGAGGAAAGTGAGGGAAAGAGGGAGGTACACATAGAGAAATGAAAAGGGAAAAGAAGGAAACATGGGTGTTATCCCCATTTTACAGGTGGGCCAGCTGAGGCTCCACACAGTTAAAAAACTGGCCCACAACACATCACTTAGCAAAGGCTAATGTCTCGGACTCTAATGGCAAAGCTTTTCAACACATTTATCCTTTAGACAAAAATGTCATACAGCTTCCAGATATCAGTAACCAACAGATTAAATCACATTCTTTAGGGTTAATTTATATTTATATACAAACTAGAGGCCCAGTGCATGAAAATTCGTGCACTGGGGGTCCTTCTCCTTCAGCCCAGCCTGCCCCCTCTCACAATCCGCAGGGAACAGGCCTAAGCCACAGTCTGGCCTCCCTCTGCAGGAGGCAACCAGGCGATCAGGGGAAGGCGCTGCCCCCATCACCCTGCTGCTGCTGCCACTGCCGGCTGCTACGGCTGCCGGCCCCCCTCGGCCCTCGCAGCCACTGTGGCTTTGTCTGGAAGGATGGCTGAAAGACATCCGATCTATCCAGTCTAATTAGCATATTACCCTTTTATTAGTATAGATAGGAGACAAGGATGGCAAGGATAGTGCAGGCTAGCAGATAACCTGGAAAGGATGAGGAGCAGTTGGTGATGTAGAACTTCCCCCTTGGTTAAAACAGAGTTCTGTGGCCTCACAGACTGGTCTAGCTTTTCTGCTTCTTTCTCCAAACACATTTTTGTTTGTTTGTTAATCCTCACCTGAGGATATTTTTTCCATTGATTTTAGAGAGAGTGAAAGGTAGGAGATTAGACAAAGAAAAACATCAATATGAGAGAGACTCATCAATTGGTTGCCTCCCACACGCACTCCTACCAGGGCCAGGGATCAAGTCTGCAACTGAGGTATATGCCGTTAACCCGAATCAAACCTGTGACTCTTCAGTCCTAGGACTGACACTCTATCCACTGAGCCAAACTGGCCAGGGCACCAAACACATTTTTATCTTGATGTTTCTTGTTTTCCACTTGACTGATTAGAAACTCTTTGAAGGTAATTCCTGCATCGTGTAAGCTCCATGTACTGAGAAAGGCCCCATGAATGAAAACTGAACTTAATTGAGTTGAGTTGGATTTAAATTATGGAAAAGAACCAAACCCTAAACATGGAAATAGGGTAGGATAGAGTGGGTAGGGAGCAAGGGTGGAACTGAGAAGGAGAGAATCAAAGTAGATAAATGCTAAGTTAAGTAATTAGTAGGTAAAGAGTAGCTGACGCCCAGCCTGCGTGGGTCAGTGGTTGAGCGTTGATCTATGAACCAGGAGGTCATGATTCTATTCCAGGTCAGGGTACATGCCTAAGTTGTGGGCTCGATCCCCTTAGGCAGCAGATCGAGGATTCTCTCTTATCATTGATGTTTCTGTCTCTTTCTTTTCTTCCTGAAATCAATAAAAAAATATTTAAAAAGAGTAGCTGACTACATTTGTTTTCTTTGAAAGATATCTAGAAACAGCATATTATTTCCTTGAGAGAAAAGCAATATGACTGTTTCTTAGAAAATAGAAGTTGGAATATTATTGCCCTCCTAGGAACTGAGAGCAATCAATATGCTGTTTCTTCCATTGTGATGGACTGGTTGTGCTGTATTTTGGTCATCTACTGTCAATACTTCATTCACAGCTAGGTTTACAGTTCATTGAATGCATACATAAATATATGTATTAATGACTGAATGAAAGAAACCCAAAAGATGGGAGAGTCAGGGATTTTTTTTAAATCTTCTTTTATTCTTTATTGTTTAATGTATTATATAAGTCTCCTTTTTCCCCCGTCGACCTCTCCCCGGCCACCCCCAACCCCCAGCACATGCCCTCATCTCTCCCCTCATCCCATCTGTGTCCATTGGTTATGCTCATATGCATGCATATAAGTCCTTTGGTTGATCTCTTACCCCCTCACCCCCCACCTTCCCTCACA